GTGTCTAAGCTTGGACTTTTGATGGATGGGGTCAACTTACGGTGAAGGCTAGTTCTAGCAGCTTGCGATTTACTTGTCCCATGTTTGGATCATCGGGGGTAATGAGGCTGCGCCCTAGATACCGGGTGATAAAGTCTTGGCATCTGGTGTTTAGTTGATAGAATGTTGAAGCGTCTGAGGTCCAGATGGCATTGGTGAGAGAGGGCTGCAGGCTTGCTGCTGATGCTGTACCTCGAACCATCCATGACCGTCGCGAGTCAGCGGAATTGGGGTGGAGGTCGGGGGTGGTGGATGACAGGAAGTTGCAGACTACCCCGAATGAACTACATCGCTTGCATTGTGGTTTGCTTTCGTCGCACTACTTGATATGGATCAGTGGGGATGGTTTATAAACGAGGTGCTAGGGGCAGCCACCTTCAGTTTCCGCAGCTTGCAATTGCGGCACCCGAATCGTGATCTTCGCCGTGTCTTTCCTTGACCTTCCCGTGCTTCTCGTGAGTCAGTCGATGTCATGGCAGCTGAGGGGATTGGATTCTGAAGATCTGGGATGAGTGGTAGTTATGGCCCCCAATACCTGCATTTAGTCATAAGCTAACCGTGTCTCGGATCTTGCATCTCAACGCTAAACCCGCACTCGGATGCAGACATCGCTGATTGGCTGTCGCTTGCCTCCACTAGGATCTACTACAGAATACATCTAGAGATGATTGAAATGCCATGATACATATTTTCGAATATAAAAAGGGAAGTGTTGCTCGGGATATCTCCCAGTAATTATATTCTTAAGTTTCTACCAAACATACAACTTGAAACTAGTTCGAGACACCAAGAAACCTGCCGTCCAGACCATATACACTACGACTTCTACCCATTAAAGGCTTCATACTTCACCACCACAGCAGTCATACAATACTACAACTATACAGAAAAGAAAATGCCCACCCACCTCGCCGCCCTCCTCCCCTCCAAATCCTCCCCCCTCATCCTAACCACCCGTCAAACGCCGACTCCAGGCCCCAACGACCTCCTCATCGCCGTCAAATCCATCGCCCTCAACCCAGCAGACGCCATCATTCGCAACACAGGCCTCTTCATCCCTTCATACCCTACCGTCATTGGCTTCGACCTATCAGGTCTAGTCCTCGAAGTTGGCGCCAACGTCCCCAAACATTTTCATCCAGGAATCACCCGCGTCGCCGCCTACTCCGCCTCCGTCTGGAAGGGCTGCGATCCAGACTATGGCGCTTTTCAGGAGAAGTGTATTGTTCCGTGGCAGCACGTTGTGCCGCTTCCGGATGAGGGGGTGATGATATCCTGGAACGAGGCGGCTATGTTGCCTGTTGCTGTGCAGGTAGCGCTTAATGCGTGGGAGATGATGGGGTTGCAGCTGGTGTGTGATACGCAGACCAATGATGGAATTAAGGGTCAGATGGGGAAGAAGAGAGAGATATTGTTGGTCTGGGGCGCATCCTCTAGCGTTGGATCGATGGGTGTGCAAGTTGCCCGAGTCCTTCGGGATCAGCCTGATTCTTCGTTTGCTGCTGTGTATGCTACTGCTGGGGCGGCGAATCATGAGTACGTGCGGTCCCTGGGTGCGGATCGTGTGTTTGATCATAGGGATCCGAGGGTCGTGGATGAGATTGTCAAGTCGGCTAGAGAGGATGGTTGTGTGATTCGGTATTGTTTCCTTGCGGTAGGTGATGTGCGGATGTGTCAGGCTGTGCTGGGGAGTTTTGTGGGAGATGTTGATGGGAATGGGGATGGGGATGTGAAGGCGAAGATTGCGTCCGCGCCGGTTGTTCCTTCTGACGTGGATGTGGTGGATGGCGTGGAAGTCATCTTTGTGGTGCCGGCGGTGGATGATGAGGAGAAGAGGTTGGATCAGTTTCGGTATTGGCTGGGGACGTGGGCGAGGGAGAATCTGAATAAGGGGAGCATTAGGCCGAGTCCGGAGCTGAGGGTTGTTGGGAGGGGGTTGCAGGCTGTTAATGATGGGTTGGATGAGTTGAGTCAGGGGGTGAGCTGTACGAAGTTGGTTGTTGAGGTCGCGGAGTGATGGAATTAGATTATTGCTTTGCTTGATGGAGTGACATGTTAATATAAATCAGATTTCGGGTAGTAGTCATAAAACGGGCGTTCTAGATGGGACGTTGCAGATCTAGTTTATAGTATATGGTAATTGCCAAAGAGAACACTAGCAGCATGCACAGTATATAAACGAGCTATTCAATTTAGATGATCGAAGGCGATAAGCCTTCGTGGGTCATAAGTATCTATGCGATTGAAACAACTTAGGGCACACTCAGAGAAAGTCACATTGATAACAAAATCAGACGAGCTGCCATGGAAAGCCAAGCTAGCCCAGTCTCGACTTCACATCTTCAACAGAAAGTACCGGCTGGGTTTCTGAATCCTCGTCCTGCAGCGGTGGAAACAAAACCGAATCCACAACATGACACACTCCGTCACTGGCTAAGCCATCCTGTACAGTCACGTTTGCAATTCCATTCACCTTCATTGAAATCAAGCCCCCACATCGGGTCACAGCAACCGTTAGATGTTGCCCATCTAAGCACGTAGGCAAGGGAAAGCGACGAACCCCCTTTAGTACACGCCACAAGCGATCCGCCTGATTCTCAGCAGTAGGAATCGTATGATCGGGTGTAGCTTCTGGCGTCTGTATGAAATGCTCTGGCGCAGAGTCCTGATCGTAGAGACGGTTGGAGTACAATGATTGATCCGCAATGACATGATATCTCAACAGAGTCTGAAGAGATGCAGCCCCTTCATCGCTAAAGAGGTATGTCAGGACATCCTCAGGCAGCTTGCGGAAAGCTTCGTTGGTGGGGATGAAGACGGTTCCACCGCGACGAGACTCATCCTGCAGAATATCCTGAATAGCTCCAGATTGTTTGACTGCAGATTGAAACAGGTCAAACTCGGATGACGGCAGAGCAGCGAGGAGAGCTGCAATGGTTGGTCGCGATGGGAGAACCCGGTCGATTACATGGACGAGACCGTTTGCCACGAGGTGGTCTTGTTCGATCACAGTTGCGTGGGAGCTCACGCGAAGGCCGTTGAGTGAAGGACGGACTGTTATCCTCTGGGTACCGTTTAATCGGTCAGGATAGAATAGTGTGTCGACGGTTGGGGCTGTCAGAAGGAAATATATTGGAAGAAATGATGGCGAGATGTGTCTTTGAAGGAGAGCCAGAACATCTTCCTTAGATAGCTCATTGCTCAGTTGCTGCAGTGCAGTGTTGCTTGGGACCCAGACAGTAGAGGAATAATCCTTGTTTTGCAATAAATGTTTGATCTGAGGGACTTGGTCCACAAGTCGGATAAATTCGGACGTGTTGGGTTTCGTTGCAAGGAACTCATAGAGGGTCACTGGGATCTTCTTTGCATCGGTCAAGTGTGGCATGAGTGCATGACTGTATCCAGCATACTGATGTTGAAGCTGCTCAAGGCTGCTTTCGGTTGGGGCAGCTGCGGCTATCCATTGCTTGAGCTCGGATGCAGCCATGATGAGCGATGATGGGAGGAGCAAATGGCTAGCTGAGAGGGTGTGAGGTGCTAGGCAGCATCATTTGTTGATATAGTCCCATTGACCCCCTTGTGTTCGCGCCATAGACATGGGTATATGGGTTGATAACAGCGCTAGTGCTAAGTATATTGACTAGCTAGGGGATGGTAACCAATGACCTGCATCGGCGTAGTCGCTGCTCAATATATTGTAGATAAGGAGATTCAAAGACAAGCTCTCCGAGCAGCAAGCCCGTTGCTTTCCGCGTGCATTAGTGCCTAATCTCGTATCTCTACTCCAATATTTTGATCCTACTGAAAGGCTCGATCACCAACCCCAATTGCAATGACTTCATCCTCATTCTGAATCCCCCATACTCCCATCAACCCTCTTCACCCCCTCACCCCCCAACCCATCCACCCACCCATCCTTCCGATGATAATATATCTCCATCTCCACCTCCGAGCACTTAACCCGATGCTCATCATCAAGCGTCCCGGACTTCACCGCGACAACATCCTCATCATCGCTCGATCGTGACGTGAACGGTGTTCCGCAATCAGGACAGAACTCGCGTAGTACCTGTACACCCCTCTTACTGCTGTCCGTATATAGCTTGGGTGTGCGCTTGGTGTACTCGAAACTAGCCTGTGGAATAATGATGTTGGCGGAGAAGCTCGAGCCCGTGTAGCGTTTACAGTGGGTGCAGTGGCAGATGATTAGCTGGTCTTTGTTAGTGGTGGACTTAATACATTGGCCGATTGTGAAAAGTTGAATTGGGGAATAGTACCTTTGGGTATGTCTCCGGGTCTGGCAAGGTAATGCAATATGTGATGTTCCTGCAGAGACAGGCGCCAGTCAACTTGTTCTGAGCCATGATGAGGGTTGGGGGGGTGTTGTGGCGAACAGAACAAACAGCTTTCGGGCTTTTATTATCAGAAGTTCAGCATGTCACTGGAAGGGCGTGGTTCTGGAATCACAGATATAGAGAGATGCTTCGGAGCCAGATTGCTTGGTATCTAGATTTGACCCACTAGGGTCCATACTAGCATAATTCTGAAGCTATTTTTATCCTGGGATAGTGGACAGCAACTGATGTCGAATACGAAGCCAAGAGAAAGTGAAACCGGGCTTGTATCTATAATTAGTCCACCCACAATGCAAAATACTGAGCCATGCGCGTAGTTGACTGTTCTTGACGGTCTCGGCGAGTCTACGCAGACTGTGTCTTTGAGAATATACTACCCTAGGAAAGATGATTGATTACAGAATTATACTCTAGGGTGCTCTTTAATGAAGTCTGCACTTTAATTCGGCAGGAATATCAATACAGACCCAATTGCAGCATAAGATCACAAGTAGTATACACAGTATTGAACATGGCAGCATGGGATATATACACAAGCACACAGCCGGAAATACAAACATAATACAACAATAGTGGAAGTGATATAGAACAAATGCCAACCCGAACTCACAGCAGATCATCAATTTCACGAATCTGCCCCAGACAGTGCTTCTCGCTCCATCGAAGCGCAATCGACTTCGGGTCAATGTCAATACGGCCCAGCACGGCCTCCAACTCATATTCCTCATCCCAACCCTCAATTGTTTCCTGAAGATGGGCCTTCTTGTACAGACGCCGTTCATCAAGAGGGCGCTTTAGTAGCCGGCGACCGGCCTTCTTCACCGTCGGGTTGGTTTTGAGCTGCCACAGCTGGGGATCGCCCTGGCTCTTCTTCTCCAGCAGTTCAACGGCATGCGTCAGATACTCGATCTTCTCCATGTCCCGTGACACATCCTTAGATCCTTCGGCCGAGCTTAGCTGACGATGCAGGTTTCCAGTGACCCGGCGGGCTTCGATGACAAAGTCACGATTGAGTGCGCTTCCTCGGGCCAGAGCGGTCAAGATGCACCACCGCATGCCATGCAAATTACCAGTGGCGGCAAACGCACGAATGAACATTTTCATGCAGACACCATCATATGCCAACGAGTGCCGGAAGCGGGACATGTAGACAGTGGCCAACAGATCAACAGCCAACTCGGGCTTCTTCACTGCGATCAGTCTTCTGCTGGTCGCTACCGTGATGTGGTGCTTGACTGTCATCTTCTTGTTTGACCAGCACAGCTCATAGAAGCGAAGCACGGCCATATTGATCAGCTGGCCTTCGGCTTCGGAATCGACCTCCATGATCTGGCGGAAGAACTGGGGGAAGAAGCGAACCAGGTGGCGAATATTCTTCCACTCGGAGTCGATCAAAGCACGAGCAGCACCGACACCCTCCTCAAGCAGAGTGCAGATAACTGCGAGTTCAACATGCAACTGTTTGAATTGGAACCGCGCGTTCTTGGCATTCTCAAAGCATTTCAACGCCTCCGTCAGCTTACCGACATGCATGTAATGAGACATCTGCTTGTGGAGCTTTTGGTATTGGTCAACCGGCCTCGAGGGAGTCATGTGTTGCAGCGTTCGTTGATACCACGGTAACGGGTCCTGCGTGTACGGCATCAGGTTGACTTCCGCAAGTGGGAAAGACCGCTGGTCATATCCAAGCACTTGTTGCGATGTGGCAGCTTGTCCATATTTCGCCCGAGCTGCCTGCAGCATCTGCCAGAACCCCACTGGTGCTTCCTCAAGAGCGTGACGACGCTTTCGAAGCATTTCCAAGAATTCCTGCTCATTGATGAAGTTCGGCCAACGGCGCTCACGTGCGAACCGCACAAATTCATCAACCATTTCCTTATTACCCTTTTCCACAAATGCCTCCAGTATGTGCTTGTAAAGAATTTTGTCGGGAACCATCTGGAACTTTTCGATATAACGATAGACAAAATCGCGGATCTCTTCACCGGAATGTGATACCCAGTATTCGAGGAAGATGCGGTCAAATATCGGCGTAAAATCATACTTCCTCGAGGTCAACTTAAGCTCATGCATCTGCTGTAACCCAGCGTCCACGCCCTCCCAATCACAGGCTAAAGCCCTTCCAAATACCAAAAGTCCCTTTGTTCGGCAGCGAAGTGGAATGCCGTATCTAGTCGTCATGTCTTTGACCAGTGCTTCCGCATCAGCCAGCCGACCGAATTCCACGTATGCTTTGATCACGGGGTTAAAGAGCTTGTCAGTGGGTTCCTTTCCCAAGCGTGGAAGGATAGTTAGGATCTTCTTCAATTGCCCGTTCAAAAGCTCGATACTCCTTGTCTTCTTCCAAAGCCCGGCGAGATAGGCGCCGCATAAGCCGCAGCCACGATCAACCTCGAGGTTTCGCAGAAGAAACCATTTGGCTGTAGTAAGTCGATGAGACTCTAGTAAACATCGGAGCACGATATCGACCATTTCCGGCGGCACTTTGAATTTGTGCATGTATCGGGTAAATATAGTGGCGACGGATTCGATGCTCCCCTTTCTCGCTAGCGCGAACATCAAAACTTTCCACATGCCAGGAGACACCTTGTCCACGTCTTCTAGGCGTTCAAAAATATTCCTCGCAACCATAACGTTCTCTTCTCTGCAATTCGCATAAAATGTCTTGACCGTAACTTCCCGTCTATCTGTAGATATGCCGTTCAACGTTGCGGGGTGGGCGTCCAAAAACAAGTGGGCGGCATCAATGGGCCGACCGTGGTCAAGAAATTTTTGCATGTCTTCTGTGACTGAATCATGCCATTGAGCTACATCTTCTGTTTGCTTCCCATGATCTTCGGTTGTTCTTTGGTTCGCATTGGCAAGGGCGGATTTTGCTCGGTCCAGTGCATCGGTCGATCGTGTTAGGTTCGGAGGGAGATCGGAAGCTGAGGTCGAATTGGCTGGTACTCGTCCGGGAGTAAAGGTGTCAATCAACTTTGAGCGTGCAGTATTCATATAAGTCTCCGTAGGGGCAGCAGGTTGGTCTTGCAGCTGGACATCCCAGCTCAAGTCGTCACCACGAACGTCCACCCCAGCCGGGACAGCTTGCGCTTCTCTGAACTTTCGGTCTTGCTCCTTTAGTGACTCCAAGCCCATAAACTCTCCCGCCTCAGCCGCCTCCATCATACGTGCTAGTCTCCTTGCTGCAGACGTTGCATCGTAGTTCGGGGCTGAGGTTTGCAAGGCCCGCTTGTTTTCGACAATTCGTTCCGCAACGCGCACCCGACGATGGACGTCGTAGGTAATGGCTGCAACCGTGCAAAAGCTTCCCACAGTCGATCCTGCAAGAGCCAATCGACGGAGGACTCGTAGGGCATTTCGTGATGGCACAGCTGGTGTGCCGCTGGTGGGTTTGGAGACCATGGTGGTTAACCTTGCGCACCGCTGACAGCGGGCTGGGTCGGATCACCACTAAATCATTAAGTGAAAAAGAAGGCTACGAGGATTCAATGACAGAGGGACCGTCAGGAACCCCGCGCCGGCTGGTCAATTGAGACAATTGGAGTTCTATGATGGAGTAGGAGGGATTCGGAGCTTGTCGGTCGGAAAGTTTGCACCAGCTTGGTCGAGTTGGTCGCTACCGCCCGCCGTACCGCATCCGGTCTTTTCCCGGTGTGCCCACTCGTCTTACTAACATCAGTACCCGGCCTTTTCTTAGACTACTATTCTATACTGTGACAACTACTCTATGGAATCATGCTACAATGGTCCTTGGGCAAATTCTATCGAAGGTATAAACTGGTACCCAATAATCACATATATAATTGAACATTTCTATACGCCAATCGTCACGAAGATCAGTCTAATCGTGACCCAGATCAGCGGTCCCGTGTAGCTGGGCTCCACTTCTAGCATCACTAGAGAATAGAATCCGCCACAAAGCCTTCGTCATTAGCCTCACCTCGAGGGCTATTTGGGTAAGAGTCGTCAAGAGTAACTGCCAAGCACAGAGTCGTTAGCAGACATTCCTAGACAATGAGGTAGGTAGGTCACATACCATGTGGTTTGATGAAAAAGCTGGTACAGAAGGTGAGCAAGAACAGGGCCCCCAGGACAACAAATATCGCTGGAGTGAACTTTCCAACCGTCAGGCTGTAAAGGAGGCTGCAAGCGGTTGGAGAGATCACTCGAGCCAAAGCATGCAAGAGTCCTTTCGTGCCAAGGATCTGACCTAACCGTTCACGAGGGACATGTTTCGTGAGAGATGATTGCATTGTCGGTATCCCCATGCCGCCAAGTGCCATGACGATCCCCGAGAATACCATGATGGAACCCTGATATGACATTGCAAAACCCATATAGCCAACCATGTCTAGGAAAAGCGAAAGTCGTATAATAACAATCTCGCAGGTGCTGGAGCCGGGAACGATGTGATCTGGTTTTGGTGGTTCACGGAAGATTGCGATGATGATCGGATATACAACAAAAAGGTTGACGACCCGGGCGATGCTTATAATCGATATGAAGAGGCTTGATTCCACATTGCCCCAGTCAAATTTGTACTCGGCATAAATGATGATCACTTGAGCGGTTCCCAACGCTACCCCAAATGCAATGGTATCCATCGCTGTAAGAAGAATAATATTCCTGCGCAAAGCCGGGGTCGCGCCGTGACGATTGGGGAAAAGCGTGCTGGGACGTCCTACTGGCGGTAGCAGAACAGATAAAGGTGTAATTAGCCGTTTGGGGTTGAGGTTCTCCAGGCTCAGCCAGCCTGCCTCCCCTTCGTCGATGACCTTTCTCCGATGACTGTCCCGCGCTTGCCGCTGCTGTTCTGTCGATAATGACTCCGGGATGATGGTCATGACTGCAATGAGGTAGAGAACATTCAGGGCCAACGACGCCTCAAAGGTACTCAGTGCTTGGCCTGTTTTCTTGATCAAGATAGCCGCCAGCAGAGGCCCAGCTGCGGTTCCAGCAAAAAGAGAGCCGTATACATACCCGAATGCTGCACTCCGCTTCGATGGGATGGTGCAGTCGGAGGCATACGACATTGTCAGCGCCATAATGGTGGTGAAAGAACCACAGACGCCATCCACGATGGCAGCCAGCAAAATCACATGCACAGAAACAAGATCTGGCCTGGCTGAGACAAAGACAAAGATAGCCTCCGCCAAAATGGTCCCCAATGCGTTGAGGGCCAGTATCTTTGTCCTACCGTAGCGATCTGATAGGTGACCGAGTCTGGGGCATGCCAGCGCAGATAGTATCCCGGCCAGGAGATTGAAATACAACTGGAATTGAGCAAGCAATGACTGAACTTCGGGTGTCTGACACTGCGAATTCTTATTTCCAATGATGACAGGCAGATACGTGAAACCCGGGTCTTGGGTCGCCTTTTTCGCCATATAATCCCTGCAAATGAGAGACATCATCAGGTTGATTTTGGGCACTGCAGTGCCGCCGATACCTAGCATATAGAAGACAAGAAATGGAAGAATCCAAAGGATCTGTTACGTGTCAGAAGTCGCGGGCACGACCGTTGTCCATGGTTGATGGAGACTCACGCTTGGCCGTCTCCATGTCTGCCAGAAGCCTCCCTGGCTGACGGGAACATCATATGGTAGGCCAGCCCGATGATCATGCTCCGGTAGGGATTCTTCGTTGTCCTGTTTTAATAGAGGGGTCCGCTCGTGGGTGTGCATGGGGTCTTCCCAAGTCTCCAGTCCGGTATCAATTGGCGCAGAAGCGTCCAGTCCGGCTTGCAATCCCGGACCAACCTCGGTATGCGCAGTCGGCGATGCGCCGCGCCTGATTGTGGACATGGTGCGAGGCGTTTCGCACCTTAGAAGTAGTAATAATGGGTAGAGCAACTAGACTGGTGCCTACATTTGCTTGCTCTGGGGTTAAAACAGTACAACACTTGAGGTGGGCTCAAAATAATCGAGAAAACCGGGCGGGGGGAAAGCCGGCAAGGAGGGAGACCAGATAAATGGTAGTCCGTTTACTAAGTTAAACTCCGAGCAGTTCGCTTATCTATCGGCATGAAACACACGACAGGTCAGCAAATGCTGGGGATTAACACATGCCAGCGCATGTTAGTATCTTAAGAGGTAGGTAGTGGTGACGTGATTCTAGAATTTCAGCCTAGGATGGGCATGCCTGGTGGTGGGTGGTGATTGTGGGAGATGTTTCACGGTTCAAGTCCATTTATCGGGGATCAGCCCCGGGTATGCAGTCTCAGAAATCTCAGAAGCAAGGCAAGTCAGCTCGGCGATAACGCCCTGGACTACCCGCCGCCTCGGGCCACTTACATCACTCCACGCTGTCGACTCCTTCCCAGCTCCAGAAACTCTCCATAGGAACTGCCAGCAGTCAAGACACTGGTACGACGGTGAAAAAAAACTATTCGTCCACATGAGGAATTTGCCGAAATCATAAACTAAATGGTTGTAGCTCGTTGCTTGTTGCTTGTTGCTTGTATAGACACACAAACTATCGTACAGAAAACGCCTTCACATACACACATCAAAGAACAGAACCCTTGTGAAAAGAAACGAAACTCTAGTGCCTGGTGATTATACTACCAAGGATGCTCCCTGTTCACCAGCGAAAAACTTTTTCTGCTCCAAGCACCTCTCACTCTTGCAGCCTTGACAACGCAGAGTCATTTGCAGCGAGCATTTCTCTCCCTTGTGCAAGTGCTCTTGAGCAAGATCTGCAAGGGCTTGGATGAAGACAGGGCTGCCGTTCAGACTTTCGGCCCGCTTGACACCCGGGTGATTCGCCTCTTCCATGACTTCGAGATCCAGCTCATACAGAGTCTCAATGTGGTCGCTGGTGAAGGCGATCGGTACGAGGACAATGTCAGTCTGTCCACGCTTCACATACTCTTGAACGGTATCGCTAGTCTGCGCCCCCAGCCAAGCCTTTGGTCCAACCTGAGATTGCCAACAGAGGCGGTAAGGGTTGCTGAAATTGAGTCTTTGCATGACCGCATGCACAGTTGCAGCGACCTCGGCTGGGTAGGGATCACCTAAAAGAGAAAGTACTCGATTAGCCACCGGGACTTCGTGACAGGTTCCTCAAGGACTCACCTCTGTTCACAACACTCATGGGCAAGCTGTGGGCCGAGAACAAGAGAACCACTCCATTCCTCTTATCTTCCGGATAGGTTTTGAGTTGGTCCTCAATGTTTCTCGCAAACGCCTCCACAAGGCCAGGGTGCGTAGGCCATCTGTCGATAACGCTCCACTGGATGGCTCCGGAAGTGTCCACGTTTCCGTTTGCTCGCTTGCCCTCCAGCCGATTCCTCCATTTCCACAACTCATTCAGAGAGCTACCCGTAGTAGAGCAGGAATATTGGGGGTATTGCGAAAAAGCGACCGCACGACCGCCCTTGCCATTGCCAAAACCATCTTCCAGCAATTGTGTGTACATTTGTTCCGTCAGCGGGTTGGCGTAACGGAAGGCGACATACGGCTTGTGAGGCGCAGTCTCCGGGTTGATCTTGTCCAGCAGCTTGCACATTTCTTCGCATTGGTATTCCGACCATTTCCTGATGGGTGAGCCTCCGCCGATGTCCGCGTACTGTTTTTGGATCTTGGGTGTGCGTCGCTTCGAAATGAGAGGCCCGAGGTAATTCTGGAACCTGCCTAGAGGAATCAAATCGCCGTCGGCCTTTATTGAAAGTAAACTGTTAGAAATATTGCAGCCAAAATGACAGCTTGCCATGGTCGAAGACGTACAAAGAGCCGACTGAGGAAATCCTCTACTTCGTCTGTCGTCGAGGGCCCTCCCATGTTGAGGAAGACCATGGCCGTAGGGCCCTTAGAGCCTGTTGCATCCTGGGTAACTGGAGGTACCGTTGTCGCCAGCCCACATCTTTGTTCCTGCCTGTATCCGAACAGGGTGCGAGATGCCGGTCGCAGCAATTGCCGGGGAAGAGTAAACGGGCGGCGGAGAGCCATGACAGGTAATTGTAGGATCGGGTAAGCTAGTCAAAGGAGGTACAAGGAAAGACCGTTCGTATCGCGCAAGTGGATGAACAATTTAGGCCTGCATTAAATAATCAATTGATAGACGAGTGGCAAGAAGAGGTAGTGGGTGTATACAACAGCGCAAGGCCTTCTGGAAGCTGAAAAGTCCAGAACGGCTTGATGACGGAGCATCGATACCACGACTAACTCCGACCCCCGACAGCCAATGACCGGCCACCTAGCGTCATCAATTACTGGATGGACATCACATGATGTTCGTGTCTCCCCGCGTCTTTCTGCCCGCCGGTTTTATCGCGTCCCTCGCGACGGGATCCAGTGACGATATAGATACTACTACTAGATCTTCCCTCGGCTGCAGGCAGCAGAGGCCAAACAGGCAGACACAACAGCCCCACTTGTTCCTGATTTCGAATGCAACTTATCTTAAACCTCTATACTTCCCTGTCTTCATTTCGATATTACTTTGAATACTTCAACCTACTCTACCACAACCAGTATGGCAGACGGTAACCCACATCGCGAAGACGAAGCGGCTGAGGAAGAGGAGGAGATTGATGAGACTGTACGCACATCCTACCCATGAGCCTGGACCCAAAGTCTGGAACTGACGATAAGATCAGAGCTACAGATCAGTCAAAGATGCAGTCCTCTTCGCAATCGATGTCAGCGATTCCATGTTGACGCCTCGTCCCTCAGCAGACCCTAAGAAACACACCCAAGAATCACCCACTACGGCAGCGCTCAAATGCGCCTATCACTTCATGCAACAACGAATCATATCCAATCCACAAGACATGATGGGGGTTTTGCTGTTTGGGACGCAGGCGTCCAAGTTCTTTGAAGAAGATGAAGACGGTCGCGGAGACCTCTCCTACCCCAACTGCTACCTCTTCACCGACCTCGATGTTCCTTCGGCCCAGGAGGTCAAAGAACTTCGGGCGCTGGTGGATGATGATGGAGACTCAAGGGAGGTCCTATCTCCGGCGAAAGAGCAAGTCTCTATGGCAAACGTCCTATTCTGCGCCAACCAGATATTCACATCCAGAGCACCAAATTTCCTCTCCCGGCGCTTGTTCATTATAACCGACAATGACAACCCCCATGGTGATGATAAAACCCTGCGGTCGGCGGCGACTGTACGTGCTAAGGATCTTTATGATCTTGGTGTCACCATTGAGCTGTTTCCGATCTCACGTCCTGAGCATGAGTTCAAGAACAGCAAGTTCTATGACGTAAGCTATCATACCCTATGACAATGTGGCAGGGGTCATACTCACTCCATATACAAAGGATATTATCTACAAGTCATCGCCCAACGATCCAGAGGCACCTGCGTATCTGCAATCTGATTCAAAGGCGGCGACAGCGACCGGGGACGGGATTTCACTCCTCAACACGCTTCTATCCAGTATCAACTCAAGAACGGTCCCGCGTCGCACTCATTTTTCGAACATGCCTTTAGAACTTGGGCCAGACTTCAGGATCTCGGTATCGGGCTATATACTCTTACGAAGGCAAGCGCCCGCTAGAAATTCCTTCATCTGGCTGAACGGCGAGAAGCCTGTAGTCGCGAAAGGCGTGACTACCCATTCTGCAGATGATACTGGCCGTAACGTCGAGAAATGGGAGATCAGAAAGGCATATAAGTTTGGTGGAGACCAAGTAACCTTTTCGCCCGATGAACAGAAGTCGCTCAGGGACTTCGGTGAGCCAGTGATCAGGGTTATAGGGTTCAAGCCTATCACTGCGCTTCCATTTTGGGCGAACGTCAAACACCCATACTTTATCTATCCATCCGAGGAAGACTATGTAGGGTCGTCGCGAGTATTTTCTGCATTGCACCAGACGCTTTTGCGTAACAAGAAGATGGCACTCGTCTGGTTCATTGCGCGCAAGGGTGCTGGCCCCGTCCTCGCCGCTATGATCGCAGGCGAAGAAAAGCTTGATGAGAATGGCGTACAAAAGTACCCTCCTGGCATGTGGATTCTTCCCCTGCCTTTCGCAGACGATATTCGGCAAAATCCTGAAACCACGTTGAATGTCGCCCCGGAGTCATTAATCGATCAGATGCGCGTGGTCGTTCAACAATTGCAGCTGCCAAAGGGGGTGTACGAGCCTCTCAGATACCCCAATCCATGTAAGTCAAATCTACCATCCACTGCTTGTATGCTATGAGAGGGATGCTGACAGCCCGTAATCAGCCCTCCAATGGCACTACCGCATCCTACAAGCTCTCGCCTTAGACGAGGATCTCCCTGAGAAGCCAGAAGACAAGACTATTCCCAAATACCGCCAAATCGACAAGGTACATCCACCATACCTAACACAAGGAAATACTCTTCCAACGTTCACTAATTAACAACTCTACTCCAGCGCGCCGGTGATTACGTATTATCTTGGGCCGAGGAACTCGAAAAACAACACGCCAAAACCTCAGCAGCGGCCCCTCACCCAACAAGCACCCTCGTGAAAAGAGGATCCAAAGACCGAGCAAGCGAAACCGAAGACTCCAAACCTTCGAAGAAAGTCAAGGTCGAGGAGGGCTCCGGAAACCTAGAGGAAGAGGTCCGCAGGCATCACGAGAAGGGGACGCTATCCAAGGTAAGCTAGCACAAGCGTCCTACATGGCCCCATGCTGGTATCTATGACAGTATACTAACCAGCGGTTTCTAGCTTACGGTCGCCATCCTGAAAGATTTCTTGACCTCGAATGGACGCTCCAATGCTGGTAAGAAAGCGGATCTTATTGAGCGAGTAGAGGAGTTCTTGGAGCAGTAGTCATGGCAGGATTGTTGGATCCGCTGTTTAAAACCCCTAATGGTGGCTATTCGTCATCTGATAGCATGAGCTTGTAATTAATGGTGGGGTTGGATGGTCGAGATAGGAGTCCTTCAACAAAAACCATAATGGAAACCCTTTTTGGGCGATGTACACTTTTTGTCCCATTAAGAATATCGCATCCGCTGGACTAGCGGGATACCATCAAATCGCAGAGTAATAGTAGAGACATAATCATATGAAATCCTGAGGTCCAAGTACTTTTCCAAAACAAGCCGCTTAGAATTCGGTTACCGAGGTCTTTATCCTCAGAAAAAATCCACTAGTGCAGCAGGTGCGCGTCTTTCCAAGTTCGAATTAATATTGAAACGATCGTAACATATCCAACCAGATTCGCCGTTAACGATAGGAGTCAGGTTTCTTCGCCGAAGAGAAAATGGGACAAGTGCGTCAATTGAGTCAACTTGAACCGAGCAGTCCCTGTAAACAACGCCACGCTGTTTGTAATATCCCTGTAGAAACGTATGGTCGCTGGTAATTATCCACAAGAACTGATGTAAACGAGCGAAAGAAAGAAAATCCACAAAAACGGGATAATATGTCGAAAGTAGATAAGATAGAATCAAACAAGAGAGCGCCGAAAGAAGGAAGCTATCGTAATATATACAAGTAGAAGCCGTGGGTATTTTTGGTGAAAAGCAAAAACGTTAATGGTATGCGTACAATGATCAACATTGTCCGTAAACTTGACAGTAGCAGACTTCTTCGTCGGGACAGCTGTGAGTAGCGAAATGTTAGTGGTCAAGCTGCATTCAGGGGGTGAGCGATGCAAAGACAACGTACTATATTGATTCTTTGCCGAATATGACGTGCCAGAGAAATTCCATGACACGACCGCTACTGGCATCATTCTTGTCTGTGTCGATAATCCACTGGCGGATCTTGATGTAATCTTCTCGTGGTCGTTGGTGGACCTGCTCCCGTGACACGGCGAATTGCGCACAACACGCCGCGCCAATCTGTTTCGGCATTTGCAGAAACTTCTGGTATTTAACCTCGTCGTATTCATCTTGCATCGTGAGGCCTCCGGTGGAGTTTAATGGCGGGGTGCTTGTGCCCTCGAAGATCTCTGCAAAGACTTCTTCTGTCACGTGCTGGTTGGTGCGATGGCCCTGCTTGCACCCTGGGTTCCAGTTGCAGCGGAGGTTGACGTAGCCATTATCTTGAACGAAATTGAGACGTAAGGATTTCATCGCAATGACGTTGTCGTGTAAAGGCGCATCTACATGCCAGGCCATCAGGAAACCCGATCGATGAGAATGAAGAAAAGCAATTGTGGATGGTAGGTTGTCGTAATGATCAATTAGGTAGGTGAGATAAGCCATGGACTCGTGACCCTTGTTCAGCGGGGTTGTAAGTGTCGTGTCGTCAGCTGCGACCTGTTTGGAGGGATTCACGATGTATATGGCCCGTTGCCAGCTTTGGAGGAGAGAAGCTATCAGTGCGCTGAAACATATGGGCAATATAGGAGGACAATAACACTCACTCTGGTAGCTCCTCCTCGACCCATTCAGTGTGCTCTTCCTGTAGCTTGGCCATCACAATCACTTTATCCCCTGGTGTGACAGGACGGGAGCCATTTAGTCTGTTCATCGGCGGGCGCAAATCCAGCCAATTGATCAGGTATGCGCCCGCGCGATACTGATCGCAGAGGTCCTCGAGGTGGATCTTCAAGAGATATAAGGGCAAGATGAGTGCTAAACTAGCACATAATGCTATGCGAGCGCCCCATCTCATGGTGGATAGCTGAAAGTCGGTAGCTTTTGTGCACGACTCAGGACTTTATCCAAAGAAATTGGTTGAAAAGCCAACGAGGACTATTATCGTAAGGCCGTAATCAATATAATACAGCTTGGACGCCGTTCTTCTCTTATGAGGGTGACAAGACTGGAGGTTGACTAAGATTGATGTTGTCACAATACAGCTTGGTGTAAGGAATGACTTGAGTCGGGAAGGACCGATAAAGATGCAAGACGGAGAGTATAAATTCAAGCATTAAAAGGAGGGTCAATCCGATGAGGAAGAATCCAAGGGAAGGGAAAGAGGGGGGAAGAATAAATAGAAAAAAAGGAGGGTATTGGAGGGGCTATATGTGTAGCATATTGCGAAAGATAGAGGACGAGAGAGAAGGAGAGAGAGAAGACGGACGAGAGGGGTCAAGGCGAGGTAATCAGGAAAGGAGACTGGAGGAGCATTGATTAACCTATTCGTCTGCCTACCAAGGCGGTAGGTGCAGTGGTAGTATTAAGTAGGTACTTTTTAGTGACTTTGGGACTAAAATAGTCACTACGACGAGTAGTAGTAGACTTAGACTCAGACTTAGTAGGCGTGGGAGGAAGGTCCATCGAATGCTTCCAATTCCAGCCCCCATCTGCCTGCTTCTGTTTCGCCCGCTCAGGCACAGCGAATCTTTCAGTCAGTCAGTCTTTTGTTGTGGCGCGGCAATGGAGGGAGTGGGGCGTAACCGTAACCCCCACTGAGCGGCCACGCGTTAAAATTATTGCTATCGTTTGGCTCCCCAAAGATGAAGACAAAGGGGGGGAAATGGAAGAGACTGTCATAGGCTGTTGGGGAATGGAGAGTCCCCTCAGACAATCGCAAACCTTAAGGGAACCACTTTCTTCCTTAGCGGGCTCTTAGCGGGGAAGCTTGGCAGCCGCCAAGTTTAGACTGGGAGCACGACATCTTGTCTTTAGGTTACTTTGAGACATACCATAATTAATTACGATTTAGTGCTTATAGCACTCTCGATATCTCTCCTAATTTCTTGTCCCCATCTCGGAATATCCCCGCCATGAAAATCTTACTCCCCCTCGTATAAAGAAGTTGAGTTTGCTCGCCCTTCCATGCCTCAACTTGGCTGTGCAAAAACCATGGACCACTGGTGGCGGTCAACCTTTGCCCCTTGACGGGATGACGTCGCGGGGGCCATTGCGCGTACGTGGGCACCACTAATATCTCTAGCCAAATATGCCACGCAGCTGCGACGCTAATCCGCCATGGTTCGCATGTCACAGCCTTCTTTCGAAACCCAACGTTCGACAGTTTCCAAGTTTGTTCGGTTGGAATGCCAAAAACTGTCACCCCGGATCGGCAACATTGTCTCGCACGTCCCGAACACGGTGGATAAGAGAATGGCCATGAGACATTTGAAACAGACATGCACCGGTGGGCAGGCGAACGAACACAAAGAACCATGGCCCACTGCGTACCAATCTAGATACGTACGTGGACAGCTGGGGAATGGATATATGATTTGCCCGCCAGATGACAAGTGCCTCGGGGATTTATCCACTGATAAGGACTCAGAGTCAGACTCCAACCCGCATTTGGATTTAACTTCTTTTATTTTTCCCATTCGGCTTCATCTCGCCGCCCCGCCCATTCTGTGTCTTGACTCTTTTCGGCTTTCCTGCCTCTTCGAATTCGTGGCTCTTGTGTCGCTTAGAATCTTTGGGACATACTAAGCTTACTCAGTACTTTTCCGGTTTCGGAAATCCCCAAAATAGCCCCAACAGTCAATGTGGCGCCCAGCAAGGCTTAGCCAGGCTGACCCCATAAGGAAAGATAATGGCCCCCAGGAATCGTAGTGGATATTATCAGTAGCTAAATCAGTAAGTTAGGACAGCAAATAGTAGTGCGGGGGAGGGGGGCAGGATGAAGGATTCATATGACTACATTAGAAGAATATATCAGGCAATACACAGTGCTACTTTAGTTGGCGCCATACCCAGGCCCATGCACCAGTATCGGCCAATGGTAGTACTACTACGTATCAAGGCTAAAGAGAATAGAATGACACTTCTCTGACCTAGATGACTCCACTGAACCCAACCTTGGAGCCTTCTAAAAGGCCCTTTCTGCCGTGAAAAAGAAAGCTATCAAGGCGCTTCTAGCCTTCCAGCCAGACCACAGCTGCTTTACAAAGAACCCATGCTAGTCAATGTGGATAAATGAAGCAAGAATGACAAGACCGATATGAACTTCATCAGAATATTGGAAGCATGAGCTCCTCCATGAGCCAGGCTTGTTCATACAAAAGCCATCTGAACTTACTTCACTGTCAGCGCACACAACTCTAAATATGTAGTAAGTGGCCGATAACTTCTACTATATCCATACTTTAGCCTGGAGAACTACTCACGACTCTTATGCTATGCTTGGTATCAACTCTACCAGCACCCTTGAACTCGTTCTAATCGAACTTCTACACAACCCATTACCCACACGCACAGACATAGACTGTGGTCTGGAGAAGACAATATAGTGAATTATATCAGCTCCACTCGAAAGAATGAGGTGTGTGGATCCAGATACCAGAGGTCTCACAAGCTGTGATGGCGGAGAAATAAAACCGTCGGACTCCTTCGGCTTCGCTGTGGACAAAGATAAGTATTACCGTGGTCCATTATATTGTTGCCTGGCTCAATTACCCATAGAAACCATCCTTCGCAATTCCCTAACTTACCATTTTCCAGGTACTCTTTCCAGTGGATTTGATCTGATTTTCTTACTACTTTTGATCAGCCAATGCTTATCGCTTGTCATTTTCGAATCTGTTTTGATACTAAGTTCGGAATAACTTGACCCACGAATTTTATATAGTGCGCGGCAGCAGAACAGTATCCCTGGATTTCTGAGAGATCGATGTTGAAATCGCTAACAATGATATATCATGTTGATACTAAAGGCAAGTACCACTTTGCTACAAGACATGATACCTACTGATATTATTGCCCTTCCAGATTATGTTGTCTTGTCAATTTTGTTTTCTTTTGATTTCCCTCCGCAGAATCCATGGACTTGCATTCCACTAAACGAACTGGATAATGCAAGTACTGCATAGCACCGTGACACATAGCAGAACTACATGGGCACCGCTGCATGGACTTATGCCCAAGTAGCGTTACATCCATGAAGTCAAGTACTCGACTGGAAGAGCAGTAAATAGTGGTCAAATCTTAGGAATGGAATCTCCAACGGTCTTGGCAACCGAGTACAAAGGGAGCAAGGGGCGCACAATAAGATTCAATGCTATCGAAGTTGCACAACTCAGCTGAGTCAAAGTTTCTATTTAGTTATTATTCTTTCTCGTCCTTTCGTCCATCTGACGTTTTAACTAGAGCCTCACAGCCAGTACCTAATGAACAGCTCACCCTTTCTCGGTGAGAGAGAGTTTCTGGAATGATGCGTCATCCAATGTGGTTGACACGTGGTTCATCCCCTACGTGCGACATTTGCAGGACCTGCAGATTGACAGATCGAGGTGACGATGGACACAGCATCTGAGCATTGGGGCTGTGCATTCAGCTGAAACTAAGTCTGTCTTTTTGCTTTTCTTCTCTCCCAATAGTACTTTGT